TTGCACTTAAATCATAAATAGAAGTTTTAGAACATGTTTTTGGGATCAAATAATCTTCAAATCTAACAAATTTATAGTCAAATCGAGCGTCTCGACGAGATTAATATAATGAGGCTAAGATCACTTAATTTTGACTTCATTAAGACATTCAAATGCTCTTCATTTGTTCAAGGAAATCACTCTTGGATGTGTGATGTAGTGGTCTAGATTCTTACAATTTTTACAGAAGATGCTACTCCCAAAATCTATAAATATAACCCTTTTCTTCATGAAGGCGAACCTGAACTTGGAGGAGAATACTTAAGGAGCTCCAAGCACTTCAGGGTTCCCGAGCTCCACCACGGTCATCTAGCTTTCCTCTACACCAGACCACTGTCGTCTGGCCACCGCTGTCATACCACTGTTACTCGGCCACCAACATCGTCACCGTCTGAACACCTCCGTCATCGCCGTCGGACCACCATCTTCAAGCAACTGCTATCGCTGGACCATTGTTGCTCGACCATCACGATCGTCGCCATTGGACCTTCTCCATCCAGTTTTTGTCACCGTCAGACCACCATTGCCTCGACCTTCACAATGGTCGCCATCGGACCACCTATGTCTAGCCGTCACCATCATCGGACCACTGTTGTATGAACACTATCGTCTTCGACGCGGGAACATCTATGTCTGGTTGCTACCATCGTCGGACTATCGTCTCCTAAGCTTCTATTTTTTTAGCATGGATGCTGCTCATATCTTCCATATTACATCAGAATATTATTTTATTAATTTTTGAAAAGTGAAATACATATGTTTCATGCATGATTATGTTATGTGAAATTTGAAATTTAGCTGCTGGATATGTAAATACATAAGAATTAAGTGGCATGTATATAAATCTTCTTTTATTTTCTTGCTATACTTTGATAAATCTTGGTGGACTGTTGTGCCATTAGTTGCAATGTATGGGTTCAATATTTAGGAGTTCGCATTTGTTTGAGCTAAAGAGGAAAAATTATTATATACATACACCGCATGCATCTCTGCATGCGGTGTCCAATCTCTACTGTGAATTACTGTGAATCACGGTGATCTACGGTTAGGATGCAATTAAAATTTAAAAAAATATATATAAAGTGGGGCCCAACGAAATACATCCTGACCGTAGATCATCGTGATTTGCGGTTCGTGATTTGCGGTCAGGATTGAACGCCGCATGCATCTCTTCATGCGGTGTATGTATGCAAATATAAAGTGGGGCCCAACGAAATATATCCTGACCGTAGATCATCGTGATATGCGGTCAGGATTGAACGCCGCATGCATCTCTTCACGCGATGTATGTATGCAATAATTTTTCGCTAAAGAGAGAGCGATAGTGGACATAGGTTCAACATAAGTTCTTTTGCAATAGACACTCCAGTGAAAAAGAAGCATTGAGAAATTTATGCAAATGGTTACTACTTAAATATTACTCTAGTAACTAACATAATACTTAAGTTGTTATAAGTTAAATAATTAGCCAATAATCCTAAATGCATTTTCAAAATTTATATTGATATTTAAAATATTTTTTGATTATTATTTTACAAATTATTTTTCTTTAAAATTTGAGTTGGTCTCATTTGTGTTCATCTCTACAAAGACCAAGATAAAATTTAATCAATAAACTTATAATGAATAGAACAAACATGCATTTTAGCCCACTTACGCACGATATAGTAGTAAGGGGTGGAGATTCTCAACGTGATTGTCATGGGTTTAAATCACATATTGTATTTCATTTTCACCAAACCAAATGGCTAGACATTTACTTCGTGAGTTGATGACATCTTTCTTAGTATAGGATTAAGCACATGATAGATCAAATAAATATGAGAAAGTATATGTGCATGTTGAAAGTGATCTTTGTAAAAAGGTTATTCTCATAACATTAGATTAACTTAAAGACTATCCCAACATAAGGGTATTTTGATGATGAGATTGCCTTAATAATTTGAATAGATCAAGCAAAGAGCTCTCTTTGAGCTGCGCACGCATGGACAATTACTTACAGACAATCCAAAAATTGCTATTTACAAATCAACAATTCTCTTTCATTCATTTTTGAAGTTTTCGCTCAAAAACAAAATTGATGGTAAAACCCCAATCCGTATTTTTCATTTTATTAAATTGTCAATAGTTTGATCATGACACGCATAAAAACATCGATTCAGTAGTTCAAAACAATCACTTGTGAGGTATATCTGTAAATACCAATGTTTCAAGTATCCCTATATTATATATGAAAGAGAGAATAATGAGTGAGACTAGAAGGGGTGTAAACGAGTTGAGTTGAGCTTGAGTCATTCTTTGTTTGAACTTGAACTTCATTAATTTTGTTGAGTTCGAGTTTGAGCTCGAGCTTAAGTCTACAAGTTCGAGCCAGCTCACGAGCAGAGAAAATAATATTAATTTAATTAAGTATTATGACAAAATGTCAAATAGAATGAGTAATCATGAGAGAAATAATACAAAATTAGTTAATATAAAATACAAAACTATTATTTTTATACAATTTTAACACTTTAAAGATAAACTCTTCAAATTTATTATATTTTGAGTATATTTTATATTGATATTTTTGTAAACGAGGTGGCTCATGAGCGAACGAGTTGAGTCGAGGCAAGCTTGAGCTTGGCTTGTTAGCTCATGGAGTCACACTCCCTGAGTGAGAGAGAGAGAGAGAGAGAGAGAGGTGGCGGTATACTTCAATATACTTGATGTTGTGTTATTGAAGCCGGTACCCAAAATTTTTTTGAAATGAAAGACATTTTGCTGAATTCAACCAGTCGATATATTTAGAAACATATTCATGTAAGAAGCTAAAGCCATTAATATGACAATAATGGTTTGATTAATTAGTGGAAAGAAACGTATATCGTCGTTAGTTGGAGGGGAGCATTAAAGAATGGCGGAAGGAATGGGTGTGAACGCGCGCCGAGAAACCGGATCTCCGGATTGCTGACGTGGGCTAGTAATGGACCCGGTGGGCGGTACCAAATCTATTGGCGCGCTTGTCGGATTTCCGCATCGGACAAGGAAGGCTTATCCCATTATTTTTGTTGGTATATTGACAAGAAGAAATGAAGGGCCACCCAAAACTCACTATTGACAAATCAATCACTTTCTTTTATCTATTTTTCAAATTCTCAATCAAATATAAAATTAACGGTAACTTTTATTTGGTATATTATGTATTTATCTATTTCACACCTAAACTTTAATTTTAACGTCTCACCTATACATAAAAAGATGTATTTCACTATTGTTGCGCTTGTAAAAATTGAAGTTTAGGTCAATGATAGGTAAATATCATTTTTATTTTTATCAAACCTTCAATAGTTGATTCATGGATTATATGAGTTAGAAAAACTGCTTGGACGGTTAATATGTAAATATCAATATTTTGGTTGGTCTACATATAATTATCGCGAAAAAAAAA